GTGGGCTTGTGCGTTTGTGCGTGTGGGCTTGTGCGTTTGTCTGTGTGTGTGTGTGCGTGTGCGCTTTTTTGTGTTTGTGTGGTTGTGTGTGTGCGTGTTTGTGTGTTTGTGTGTTTCTGGGCTTGTGGGCTTGTGCGTTTGTGTGTGTGTGTGTTTGTGGGTTTGTGGGCTTGTGGTTGCACTTGCGCTTGCCTTTGTGTTTGTAAGTGTGTTTTCAATTGTCGTCCCCGAGTGAGTCAACCGCCCACCCCTGCGCGGGCTCCAAAGCGCCCGCCTCAGGCGCTCGTCGTAGCTCCCGGTGAGCAGCTCGCTGCCGTCGTGGGGGTTCAGCGCCAGCGCAGTGACCCCTGCCTCGTGGCTGCGGTTGCGCCAGGCAGGCTCTGGCGACCGCGGATCCCAAGCCACCAGGTAGCCTCGGAGCCGAGTCCCATGCCACAAACACCGTTTCTTTTTCCCAGAATTGGCCCCAAAAATTCCAGGGAACGTCTTCAGGTCACATCTGGGAAGAACTTTAGCCAGTTCTTGACTTACTGTTTCCCGAAGCAAGAGCTTCCAAACAATAACAGCTTAAATTGTAGGGTGCATACAACTTATCTGCTCACCACAGGCGGCTCGCCAGCATCAAACTACCTGGAATCTCCCCTCCCGCCCCAGTTTACCCTCCCGCCAAACAATGGTCTCTTCTAAGGTTCCTTCTGCGCACCGACCCCTCGAATCCACAAGCCCGCCCAAGCCAAAGCTCGCCCAAGCAGCTGTCGTCGGCACCAGTCAGCACCAGTGACTCGGCAAGTTCCACGCACCAAGCCTCCAAAGCCATCCACATGAACCTCTGTAAGGCAAGGGATCATATGAACAACGCCGTAACCAACACCGTGGCTATCACACAAAATGAGAGCTTGACGTGGAAGTCATATAGTCAAGACAACACTCAGAAAAGCCAACCGGAGGCTGTTTGAAGACAAATGTCCTTTTGAGACGGAGCCCCTGTGACAATCCATAGTGATTGAAATCCAAGAACGCTTGCGGTGGTGATCTTACACGGGCCTCATGCAGAAATTGCGGCTCGCCGCTGAGTGAAGCAGAATAAGTCTTGAGACATCCACACCTTGGCCCTTCTCCTGATTTCAACATGTTTGAACACGACACCATAGCTGATGCCCCCTCTCAGCAACCCGATTCCTTGGGCTTGCCGTTCAGATCTCCCATGTCATTTCAGCTGGAAGCATACGCACCCCGCGCTGACGCCTCCAGCTCGTGCTGCTGTCGGCAGGCCACCACTTTCGCCGACTCACCCAGGTCCAGCACATGGGCCCGGCCATCCTGACAAGGTGTCTCCGGAGCACCATCAAACCTATGATCCAACAAGAAAAAATGGAAATCATAGTACAGCTGAGTTAGCGAGACCCCGAATCATTACGTCTCAGCGTCTCAGGGACAGGGCAATTCCGCAATTCCGCAACTCCGCACCTCGCAACGCCGTCTCGGGTCTCAGGTCTGGCAACGGCGCGCATCGACGAATCGACGTTGGGCAAAGCGATGCAGGGACCCAAGGCACATCCAGGGACCCGAAGCCGCCCCGTTCGCTCGCTCCTGGCCAACCGCTGCCAGGCGCGTCCCGCTCCAGCAGAGGTGCGTCAGGATCTGCTCGCTGAGTTGGCAGCGCCTTGCCGGTTTTTGCCGATCTTTGCTGCTTTTTCTTCCGCTCCGGGCTGTCCCAGTGGCATGTCATCCGTATTTTAGGCATCCCGCGCGATGCGCCTTCTCATCAAAACAACTGAAAATATGACAATGAATGCTATCCTTTGCTTCTGCGTGGCAGTATTTTGGAAAGCACAAAAAGAAGAATGAGCAGAAATTGCGAAACACGGGCACCATCTGCCAACCACCTGTTCCTAGACACCAAAATGCGTCCTTGTCAATGGGGAAACCCGTGGGGCCTGGCCTTCATGCATGGACGGCAAGCAAGTTTTGAGGAGTTGTGACAATGCATTCATTGTCAGAAAATATGCTGCATCATCTCACGTGCGAGAAACCGGTGGAACGATCAAGTAGGCACCAGACATCAGAGCCTTTGGTCCCGAGCCACTCCCGGTGTCAAAGTTGTTGCTGTCAACGTGACCACACTTTGCCCCTGAATGGCACAAAGCAAAGACATGAAGAACTCATGGAGCCGCTGAACTTGTGGAGGACCTGAATTGCAAAGGGAGCCCTTGAAAAGCAAAAGTCATGATGAATCCTTGACCTGGGGAATCTCCGGTCAACATGAGCAACCTGTGGCAACATTCCATAACCTGGCAAAACAGCACGAAGCCACGACAGCGCAACCGAAATCAACGTCATCGCCAATTCACCAGAGTTTGTACCACCACAATCAACAGAGCTAGAAACATACCAACAAACAAGTCAAATACTATTGTCAGAAATTGTTGGGGAATTAACAATACGTGATATTCATATAAATTGCAAGAATGAGTGTTCATCACATCAATGAATTGGCTATGTTCCCAACCTCAGTAGCGATAAATTGAAACTAAACCAGTCACACAAAGTTGCGAGATGAATAATGTTGAAGTTGTTTGTGGTAATGGGGAAAACGTATGCTAAAGCTAGTTTTAACATTGTGAACGTCTGATAATTTGATCACATTGCTTAATGTCAAGTGTCTCATGTTTTTATCAATACAACTATTGCGGAAAGTATTACTACTACTACTACTCCTACTACTACTGAATACTAGGAATACTACGAATACTTCGAATACTACGAACACTACGACTACTACGAACACTACGACTACTGCGACTATTACGAACACTGCTACTGCTACGACTGCTGCTACTACTACTTTTACTAGTACTAGTACTAGTACACTGCTACTACTACTACTACTACTACTACTACTACTACTACTACTACTACTACTACTACTACTACTACTACTACTACTTTCACTACTACTTTTACTACTACTGCTACTACTACTACTACTACTACTACTACTACTACTACTACTACTACTACTACTGCTACTACTGCTATCCGTCTTACTGTTTTCCGTTTATTTACTATTGGTGGTTCTTGACTATTATCTAATTTGCAAGGGAACGGACTAGTTTGGAACATCCCAGCTACCAAAACCAGGTAGGCACGGGGGCTATGGGAAGCCCATTGGTGGTTGCAGGAGACAGGCAGTATGAGTCTATCCTGGACTCTCTTGTGTGCTCGAGGCAAACAACGCGCAGCATTTTGCAATCAAAGCATTAAGGTTTATGCAGCACCTGCTTGCCTTTTTCCCTGCTCACCTTCCCAACCAAGCCAGGTCTCGACTATGCACCCAGGGGAAAAATCGGCAGAAGACCCAAGACCCCTCCAGTAGACCTTTCGCTCTCCCGTTCCCGCCCTCCTCCAAGTGGCTGTGGTTGTCAAAACCCTGTACCCCTGGTGAACATCAAAATAGGTGGCAAATGGATGTTCATCTTCCCACAATGGGATCGCCATAGGCTATGCCAACATGGCCAAGTCTCTGCAGCAGCTCTCCAGAGAGTCCGTGCAACCGCAGGCCCCCGTCCGCGCAGCAGGCCGCCAGGGCCGCGCCGGTTTCACCCACGAAGCTTCGGGGGCGCCAGGCGAGGTCATAGACCCCTGGGCCTCGCCATGTCTTTGGCTTCAACGCTCAGTGGTTCAACAGCAGTCAGAGGTCAAGGGGAAACAAATCCAGCAAGACAAGGCCACCACACATCATGGCTCAACTAGCTCTCACTTCCAAGTCACCCATCAGAATTGATCAACTTTGAAAGGTACTTCGAGGTGATCCTGGTCGTGTCTTCCACCAATCCATTTTGGTGTGCTTGTAAAAACCCACCAAAAGGGCAAGGTTCCCAAATGAAGGAAACACCCAGGCGATTCCACATGAGAACAACTGCAAGGTTAGGGGTCCATCAGAGTCGGAGCTGGAATCACTTCCGTCAATTCGAATTTGAGATGCCAGGTCCTGTGCGTCCTGTGCGTCCATGTTAGCAACTGTGGACTTGAGCGCTTCTGAATTGGAGTGAATCAGGAACTCCCCAAAGCAGAGCAGAAGGAGAAGGATTGCTTGCCACGTGGCTGGATCGCTACCTCCATTGCTCAAACAGGCTGGAATCACTATCTTAATGTCCCTCCCTCTTGCCAGCAACTAAGGCTCTTTCCACTGTCGCATGGTGCCGCAGCCGCAAGCCCTCGCTCTGATCCACGCAAGCGATGACTAGAGCCCCAGATCGCTCATCGCTGGTCTCATGGTGCTCGTACCTCGGTTCTGCGCAACATGAGAATGGGCACGCCATTTGGTTTCTATACAAACCTTTAGGTTTGGGTTTTTATATTTAAAAACAAAAAAAATGTTTTGTTAACAAATGTCAAGGTAGTGCAAGTCAGCGCATTGAGAAATGTTGCGAGGGCGTTTCTCTTGGTCGAGTGTGAGACATGCTGCTGACAATTGTTTGTTGATCATCCTGGAGAATTGCTGCAGGAACAATTCCAGTATAGCAACATGTTGAAATCCCCTCGACCCCCTTTTCCATCTTCAGAATCTTCAAATGACAGCTGCAAACGCTCCCATGATGCAAACTACCACCAGGGTGTTTTATCCCCACGTTTTGCCAACCTCGCGCTAGTACATGGCAAACTCGCCTCGCGAAGGATGTGGTCTTCCAAACGCGTCAGCACGGATTCTTCCACCCCGTCCGACCCGTCCCTACCATGAAATCGGCGTGGGTCAATAGATATTACCCAAAACGGCTTGCGGTAGAGACCCGGCGCCCGTCCAATTTTCGGTTCGACCCAAGTCCCAAGGCGCAGGCCCCATGCCAATCGCAGCTCCTCCCCGGGCAGCGAGCACCACTCCACCACATCCGGGTGCGAGGATGTCTCCTCCACGCCCATAGCGAGGCCGGCTCCGTGCGAGGGCATGCTTCACTCGGTTTGCATCGGCTGTGTCGTGTCATGGCCACGTCTTGAAACCAAAACCCGCAATTCGATCCCTGAAAGGACGAGAAGAGGCCATTGAGCACAGGCTTTGGCTTTCTCCCATCTGAGAAGTGCCTCTGCATTCGCACGAGCCACAGGCCGCGCAAGCTGACGTCTGGGAGCCGCTCAGTTGACCGAAATGAGGACACATGCCAGAGCAAACCGGAAGGATACTGATGCTGTTGCCAAAACAAAAGGCCGAAATGAAGCCAAAAGGAAGCCAATATGAAGCCAATATGAAACCTGACGGGAAACAACAAGCCGCGATCCCAATATAGTTTTTGACCCATATATCTGACTCCAAGTGTATGTTGGCTTTGATTTAGGTTCCTCTCTAAAGCCATCAAAGAAGCTCCACAGTCTCAAGTACGAATCGGAACCCTCCAAACAGGCGGAACCCCCTTTTGGTATCCCTCTAAATCAAGCCCAGGAGTTCCCTCAAAGACCCACCCATTTTGAGGCGGACCCAACTGTACAAAGAAAAGATAACGGATTTCACAAAGTCGGAAGGAAGGGTGTGAGAGCTAAAGCAACTTGGGCGATCAGCTTACATTTGCTTCCTTCCAGTGTTCTCTAGCTTCTTGTTGAATTATCTTAAAGAGATCGCTGGTCCACCGAAATGGATAAGAGGCCAACTTCCAAAAAAAACAATGAGATCGCTACTTTCCAGGATCATGAAAGGACTTTTTAACCAGGAGATCGCAATTCTACCAGTTTTTCGGGGCAAAAGAGGTCATGAGGCTAGAATTCTGCCAGTTTGCTTCCAGCTCTCCCGCTCCGAGACTCGACTCGCGCCTCGCCATTCGACTCCCCAGCGCTTTGCACACTCTGGTTATCCTGGCGCGCGGTCGCGCGAAAGGCAGGCTGGACGAGTTGAGAATGGAACGGGACACCGGCACCAAAAAGGACCCCTCAGTACTGCCGAGTGACGCTGGAGTGACGAAACACACTTTTCAAACCAATCAGCTATGCTATATGATACTTGTAGTACCATAGTGAAGCAACCTCCATAATAGGTCTCAATCATACTCAGGCAGTGTCAAGTTATCGGCTGCGGTCCAGGAAAAGACCTTCACAATACTCCTGTAATGCAAGGGAATTTGGTGGTATGGCAGTTGTGAGCAATGCAAGCGTCATAGAAAACTCAAATTCGATACTTGACATTTGCATGCTTTGCCAAAGCAGACCTTTGCTAACATCAAGCTGTTTTCATCCGCCATCCCCTCAGCTGAGAGTCTAGATTCTGCAATAGCCTCATTGTAAGGCACAATGGTGCAACAGCACTACCAACGGGCAGACAGCAGACAGCAATTGAATATGATCTTTCCCTCAACCAATAAATGGCTGCTCATGCGCGAAAAAGCAAACGTGTCTGCAGGCGAAAGCTGAAGGCCTCTTGCTTCCGCGCCTTGTCTGGGGTACGGCCGCCTGATCGCTTGCCCTGCGGAGGTCGAGTCACCAGATCCAAGTGACTCACTTAACACAAAGCCTCCACATGGAAAGATGCGCAAAAGTAAGTAGTGGGTCTTTGCTGTTGTGCCACCTCAAATTAGAAAATTCCAAAGCGTGTTGCCGACCTCTGTGCTATGGGATGGAAGCTGGACAATTGGCAACCAAGGAGGAGCTTTGGCGCTGCATGAGGTGTGGAAGTTGTGATGGATGGCATGGTCGCAGAGAATCCGCGAGTCACGGGTATGACGACGGTAAAAGCAAAATTGCAAGACGTGGAAGCAAGGTTTGACGAAATTACACTAGGCAGTCTTGGATTCAAACTGGCATGCATTTGTCTACTAGGCTATGAGAAGTCAGGACAAGCTAGTACCGTCCGGAAAAGAGAAATACGAGCTGCGGTCTTCCCAGCCACGAAAACTGGAGCAGGCTGTCCCAGCCAAGGACGGCTCCACAAAGCGGCTTCCCCAGACTGCACTGGGATCAATGGCAAGACCAAGGTAAACTAAGCCGACCCAACCTGCATCCATCCCCAGCCCGACCATCCCCACCCCGGCCGACCATAGCACGGAAATCGGGCCTGCTTCTCCGCCTGCGAAATCGGCGAGTCAGGCTGACTTTTTGCCAGCTCGACCCACATCTTGGAAGGCTAAACCAAGCGGGAAGCCACCTGAACCCTGCAAACATAATTTCCTTGTGGCAACAAGGTTGCAATGCCTTTGCTTCAGGCTGGAACCGGGGCTTTCCTCGCTCTGCTGGGTTTGCGTGCGGCCGGGTGCAACAAGCCGCATCCCACCCGGCAGTGAGCACGGTGAAATAGAATCTCCAGGCCTGCTCTTGGCGCGGCTCGCCCTGGCGAGTGTGGCTAGCGTCATGATACAGCTCAAGCATCCTAGGAACTGTCCTCGGAAGCTGTCCTCCTATATTGTCTCATATTGGGTGAATGTTGAACAGCGGGATTGCCACCCGCCACGTTTTTAGCGCATTTACACCAATCGAAACCAGGCCGTCACCTTGACAATACATGCTGCGAGATAAGTATGCCGCTCTCGTGAGACCTTTTCTGAATCAGCGGCAGCCCCCCCCCACGAATGACCAAAACTCGCGTTGCTTGGCAAAGTCCTGTCATCAGCCAAGCTTGAGAAAAGGTGTGGCAAAGCAATGGTAGCACGATACCGGAGATGGAAGTAGCAAATGTCAGCGGTCCTGACAGGTTGCATAGTACAGGGGCTTGATTCACAATGCGGGAATGTGTCAAAATGGCTGATTTTCTTGGGATGATATTGATTAACGTTTGCTGGGGCTTCACGATTCTGTTACACACCCACGTCTCATAAGGCAATGTCAACTGGGCTTGATTCGATTGAGCACGGTAAACATAGATAGTCTCGATTCGAGACTGCTCTATTGGAGTCAAACGCGATGGTCCAAGACCGATGTGAATGCAATCAGGTATCTTGCAACAAAATGTTTGTCGGTGTGTCATTGTGTTGGAGGAGATCTCCAACCATGTTTGGCCAGAGCATTTGATAGATTTGCCTTACTAGCACACATGTATGTTCTCATCCTTTTCCTCCTTACAACCAGGGTCTTAGCCATGAAAAAACTTTGACCCTCGCCGAATGGCGTATTGTGTCTGTTCAAAAATGGAACAGCCAGCACCGAGCAGCCAATCTTCTGGGCAGGTGCAAGACATCGTGTGGCAACAGGTCAGACATGCTTGTGATGGTAGCCACCGTCGACATGCTTGTGATGGTAGCCACCGTCTAACCGTTTCATCTCTGTCCAGGATAAGTGAAAGCGAAGCAGGAGCCCGTCACTTGCAGAGTCACATTCGTGTTGGAAGATCAACAAGCATCCTGTCGAGTGCGCAAAAAGGATGGCCCACAGGCAAGTGCCTCGTAAGGACCAACAACCGACTCGGACACAGGCCTTGCTGCCCTTGCCCCCTCGCTTGCCACCTGGCAACCAGGCAAGGTGCACAGCGGACGAAAGGCCACCCAATTGTAGCAACACATCTGCAAATGCAAATGTGCGTAAAGGATCTCACGTACATATTCCAACTGCAACTGCATATGTTCGCATATGGGGGAAAAAAAACAAAAAAAAAACGATGTGTAGGTGTATGCATTTACAATCATGGGTGGGTGGCGGTATCCAAACGTCACTTTTTAGAGTCCTTCGACGGCAACAAAGCCCGTTATAAGGCAAATTAGAAAATTACCCTGCTTGAGCCCGACATGACTAGTTCTGCTTTTGATCGTTTTTGTTGACTAAAGCGGTTGACACCTCCAGCATCACCCGTGAGTTAGTCAAGGAAGCGAGTTTTGTCCGATGACTAAAAGGTTTGAAACTTGAGACAATTCAAGGTGCGCACACGTGCGGAAAGGTGCGAGGCAGAATCGCGTGTAGTTGTTCAGCATGGTTTATTGCAAAAGTCAATGTCACTGTTTCCAAACACGAGTTGTCAGGCTCACGACAGCATCGAAGATCTTTGCAAAGCGAATTGCAAAATTGACTTGACGGCCTTTGTTTGACTAAAGCGGTCGACACCTCCAGCAGCTCCAGTTCCGGAGCTAAAGTGGTTGACACGCCCAGCATCGCCAGTGTTTTAGTCAAGGACACTCGTTTCCGATTGCGACTGTAGATGTTGCGATAGTCCGGAGACTAAGCTGGCTGACACCCGCAGCATCACCAGTACTTGGTCTTTGTTGAATATAGCATCAGCAATATTTCAATAACACATCAACCAGATGTCTAGACAAGACTGGTCGAAGCCCCCAGCATCACTGTGAAGGCCACCAGTGCTGCAAAGGAAATACTTCTCCTCTTGCTACAAGTAGATGTTGCAATAGTCCGGCTGATTGGTCGACACCCCGTCATCACCAGTGCTTGGAAAAATGTGTTTTCCCCGAAGACTAGCAATTAACAAGGGACGATGCAGCGCCGGCACGTGTGCATCAAGTAGCAGGAGCAGGAATCGCACAAGCACCAAATGACGCTGAGCAAACCTACACAGAAGCAAGTCATCAAATAGATAGACAAATAGACAGATAGACAGACAGACAGACAGACAGACAGACAGACAGACAGACAGACAGACAGACAGACAGACAGACAGACAGGTAGGTAGGTAGGTAGATAGATAGATGGATGGATGGATGGATGGATGGATGGATGGATGGATGGATGGATGGATGGATGGATGGATGGATGGATGGATGGATGGATGGATAGATAGATAGATAGATAGATAGATAGATAGATAGATTAGACAGACAAACGAATGCATGGATGGATAGATAGATAAACAGACAAACAAACAAATACAAAGATAAAGAGATAGAGACAGAAATAGAGATAGCTATATTCGGCACACGCACATGTATTGCGGCTACAACAACATAGACATACATGTTCAAACAAACGTAGGCATACATACTGCTATTGCTGCATCTGGCTTGCGCGCTTTAGTACAAAGTCATGTACACATTGCAATGTGTAGAGTTTCGCCGCATATGCATACGTACATCCATGATGTCCTTAGAACTGCCATGCTTGAACTTGGGGAATCGCACATGCAGGGTCCGTCCGTCTGGGGTGTTTGCCGGGAGCACTTCACCTTACCCAACCTGTGTCAAAACCCCCCGAAGAACCTACCGAAGGCCTCCACTGGGAGGCATTGCCCAGTCCGAGGTTCACCTGGCGCAGCAGAAGCGGCCCCATCCAATTGGATAACCCTCCAGATGGCTGTGGGTCAAAATATGTACCCAAAATGGAATCCTGGTAAATGGAAACATGGACCAAAACCTGCGGTCCCCTGGTGGTTGAATTTTGACCCATACCCAGATGTGGAACTGTACACTTGCTGCAGCGCATCCCGAAACCAAACACTGGGCAAAAGCTGCTTCTTCAGATCATGCGACAGTACCACTCTGCCACTTTGACTCAGAAATGCGGGCGATTGGTCATGGCTCGCGTGGGGTTTATTCCATGTGTGTGACAGTGCAAGTCATATTTGCAGATGCCGATCTCGGAAGCCCCAGAGTCTAGCGCTGCAAATGAAGAAAAGGCCTACAGAATGGTGTCATCCTTCGACATATGCTCGCACCTCCTCAATGACTTATCCGGTCCTCCGTCCTGAACCTTCGATATGAGCGCGGCAAAAACCAAATGACCGTCCGCCCTTGCGAGTGCCTTCCTTTTCCGGCGATCTCCCGCCTCTGCGCACTCTCTGAGAAAAAACAATCGATCGCCTCAGTGCCCGCTGTTTGGAGCCCATGAATCACGATTTGCTCCTAGCCCCACGGCTCGTGGCGGCCACTTGATACATCTCAAAAACTGCCCGCAGCTCAGGAAACGTGCTGCAGCTCTGCGACTGAGGCACGGGCTGCTCAGCAAAAATGGGAACGAACTAATTGAACACCCCCAGTCTCGATTTGAAAGCGCTGCGAATCCAAAAGCTTGTGCTGTGACCAGGGCATGCTGCCACTCCAAGAGATTGCGTCCCAACTGTTCAGGAGAAAGACATGCCAAGTCCGTGTATGGTATATTCATTGCTGGCTGCTCACCATCCTTGCTATGCATCTAAACCCAGAACATGTTCATGGTACGGATGTTTTGCAGCTGTGTGCAGTGTTTCCAACACTTCGCTAGAGATAGACTCGCAACTGAAGGCACACTTGAACAAACCTCGGAGCTTCAGAGCCTTCTGTGCTCTGCCTGTGGTTGATCATTGATGGCAAACCGTGACGGCTCAGCAACTGAGAGAGCAAAGTGGTGTCAAGACCTGGATGAGTGCTTCAGCACTTCAACATGTTACACATTCATTGCTCAGCAACATGGCCCTAGTAAACCACGATCGGATTTACAGCCGAAATCAACCTCTTCAATTGAGCCCCTAGTGACCCCAGACTCCTCAAGAGACTCTCCCAAGCCAAGGCTTTGTCGCTTGCCTCCAAGCCTTCTCCTTTTTGGTTCCCGAGCAGGCGAACGCTTTGACGCTCCACCGCCGAGAGCACCCACAAAAGTCGCGGCGCCTCTTGCGCCCGGCTGCAGGCGCCTTGGTCTGGCTGTATTGCTTCAGCTGGTTTGTCTGGTTCCAGCTTGGTCTGGTTGGTCTGGTTGGTCTGGTTGGTCTGGTTGGTCTGGTTGGTCTGGTTGGTCTGGTTGGTCTGGTTGGTTGCCTTGTTTGGTCAGGTGGCAGACTGGTTCCCGCCAGCAAGCCTGTCGCATGCGCAAGATATTATATTCCTTCTTTTTTTCGTCACCGCTCACCACTCACCACTCACCCTTCCCGCAGAACCTCCTGTTCTCTCCCACGCCTAGCAAACCGCTGAAGGTCATCACGGCAGGGGCCAAAGCCCGCAGCTGCAGCTGCGACAGCAGCTCCAGGGTCAGCCGCCACCGCCCTGAGCGAAGCCGAGGGAAGCAAATGGAGATCTGACCATGTGTTCGTTGAACATAAAATACACCTGTATTTTCGAGGAGAGAAAAAAAAAAACGACAAAAACGATACACGCTTTTGGAGCCTTTGGAACGGGGAGCAAGATGCATGATTCAGAATGGAATCACAGGATGTTGGACGACTTCCTGATCAACTCACTGACTGACTTCCGCGAACAAGTCGAATGTAGAACCTGCCTGGTATCCCTGCAACATCCCGCCCCATTACGAGCTGTTCTTTTTCCAAGACCCTGAAAGCGGGCCAAGGCTCCGCGATGCCGTAACTAAACCGCCAGCGAGCGATTTGGAGCCGATTCCCAACGCCTGCTGCTTCGCAGGCCAAGACCGCGGCGTTGAAAGCCACGAGGTCCGGGTCCAGGCGAAGGGTGGGCAGCGCCCCGAAGAGCGCGAGCGCGGCCCTCGGCAAAATGCTCACGCCCGTTTGGATCTGCAACTTGTTTAGATGTGCGGAAGTGCTGATCTACTGATCAAGTTTCGGCTAACACCTAGTCAAAGCATCTCAAGCCCTGCGTCCCTCGCGGCCAAGCATCTGCCACTGGAGGCCTTTCTCGCAGGCACTGATGGCAGCGCTGTACCTTACGTGGAGCGGTCTTCGATGTGAGCTGGCGGGCGAGCCCAGACAGGGTTGCCAGGGAGCTCTCTGCGGACAAGTCGGGCAGCCAAATATCAGTGGGAGGCTTGGCGAGAGATGAGATTGCAGGACGGGTTCCAATGTCAGCAACAAGTACAATACGCCAAAATGATTACACACTGTCGCCCACGCCAGCTCCGCGTGCCAGAAGCCAGTCCCGGCCGAAAACCCCTTAGCCCCTTTGAGCCCCCGGGCGAGATGAGGTTGGCCTGTCGCGAACGATGCAGCCGCTCGAGGAGCATCAAGGTCTGCGCAGGGCAAAGCCGAAGACTCAGCCTCCCCATTTCCTGAGGGGATGTTGACTGAGTAGATGTAACTGAAAAGCGCCTTGAACAAATCGGCCAACCCGCAACCTTGGCTGAGGATCCAAAGCCGAAAACTGAGATGTCATTCAAGCCTTTTCTTCAAACGAGCCGATTGACTAACATGATTCCCTGGAGTTCACCCAACAGCACTCGTGCAACTCAGAACTCCCACCAATGCCTCGGGAGGCCCGGCGAGCCCGACCCAAGTACCAAGTCGACCCCACATCGTGCCCCCGCCTCCTGCCACAGCCCCTCATTCTCACAGGCACTCATTGCGGCCGAGTAAGTTACCACGTCCTCGGCGCGAAATGAAATCCAAGCCTTGCAAAACACAATGTGGCACACCCAGCGGAAGACTAAGGCTAATGATGCTCTTGCCGACAGAGCCAACAAGTCTCAAAAGCAATGGAATGAGACTTTCGTTGAGTCTGTCTGTGTGATTCTATATCAGTCTTTCAGTCACTCAGTCAATCAGTCAGTCAGTCGGTCGGTCAGTCAGACAGTCAGTCAGTCAGTCAGTCAGTCAGTCAGTCACTCAGTCACTCAGTCACTCAGTCACTCAGTCACTCAGTCACTCAGTCACTCAGTCAGCCATTCAGTCAGTCCATCAGTCAGTCAGTCAGTCAGTCACTCAGTCACTCAACTCACTCACTCACTCACTCACTCAGTCAGTCAGTCAGTCAGTCAGTCAGTCAGTCAGTCAGTCAGTCAGTCAGTCAGTCAGTCAGTCAGTCAGTCAGTCAGTCAGTCAGTCAGTCAGTCAGTCAGTCAGTCAGTCAGTCAGTCAGTCACTCAGTCAGTCAGTCAGTCAGTGACTCAGTCACTCAGTCACTCAGTCACTCAGTCACTCAGTCACTCAGTCACTCAGTCACTCAGTCACTCAGTCACTCAGTCACTCAGTGTCAGTCAGTCAGCGGTCAGTCAGTCAGTCAGTCAGTCAGTCAGTCAGTCAGTCAGTCAGCCAGCCAGCCAGCCAGCCAGCCAGCCAGCCAGTCAGTCAGTCAGTCAGTCAGTCAGTCAGTCATTTTGCCTCGAACACTGCAATCCTTGCACGCAGAAGCCGGAGCAGCTTGCTAGGTAACCAAACTAGCAACCAACCTGCGAAAGTTGACTGATTAGCGAGACTGACTTCTGACCAGCTGACTACGGACTGCTCAATGCTGACTACTGACTACTGACTGTCGACTACTCACTACTAACTAACTGACTTGCTGATTGACCGACCGACCGCCCGACTGACCGACCGACTAGTTGGCCAGCTCGTCAGTTGGCTGGAGTAGCTGGCTCATGAGTTGTAAAGGATCAACCAGCCAATTTGCGTGCTTGCTGCTTTTTGCAAGTTTGCCAATTGGAAATTATCTTACTAGTTGGATGTTTGGCAGGCAAGCTGGATTATTGCTTCACTTGCTAGTTAATTAGATATCTAGTTGGCGCTAGAAGAAGACTTTCTGGACATGTTGATGGTGAACCCCAGCAAGTCCAGAAAGGATCTTGCAAGAGAAAATCCTAACAACTGTCATTCAACCCTTTCAAACGCTCGCAGAGGGCTCACATGCATGTCCATGTGATGGAGCTTTAGTCTCTGGGTCCGGCGCTGAAGACAACTTCCATCGGATGTTCTTGCTCAACTCTCTTTGATCACGGTCCAACACATCGTCCGATGATACTGTGATCCATGAAGAGAAGCAAAAAAAGAACGACAAATTGGTATGCAAAGTGAGGACCAGACCACTGTGACCTATGCCCCAACACAAGTGCATCCAGGTGAGAGCACATGCCTCTGGCAAGCTGCAGGCTCCATGTCCTCCTTCAGCATGGAAGCCAAAATGGTCAAGGCAGGCTCCCAGTTGCCTCGGGGAACGCCCGCGCCGTCCGCTTGCAATTAATTCAAGCTCAAGCTTGAGGCTTAATTGCCGCAAACAAATATCCAATCCCACCTCGCGTGCAGCTCAGGGTGTTTCAGGGAACCAGACTGTAAATAGTACTCAACAGGAAAGGCAAAGGGTCCCCTTTCTAGAATATGTCAACGGAAAACAAAAAGGAGAAAACACCTGCCTGTGCATCCGCTGTGGATGTATATGAATGTATGGATTCTATGATGGCAGGAGGTCTTTCTGTGCATCAGCAGCCATCACACAAGATCTGAGATGCAACACTCTTCTAGGCAGGATTTTCTGGTCGCAAAGAATATCAACAATCACAGCTGTGATCGACAAATTGTCAAATGCCAATTTGCCACCACTGGGTGAACTGTTGTTGTTGAAGAATCCCTGTACCACTGCGACCAGTAATTATATGAAACTTATCTAAGACATGTCTAGCTCCCCTCCAAGGCCTCGGTCCTACACTTTCTCAATATCTGCTAGTGCTAGACATAGACTGGATTTGCTTTATAAAAGAATTGGAGAATGCAAGATCGCATGCTGGACGTATCTTGAAAGTGCTAGGACTAAACTGGCCTATCTGTGCTCTACGCAAGCTGGAAACCTGCCTAGAAATTTACTAGACTGGAAATAGTCCAGCAATGTGAGTACCCCTGAAGTAGTGGTGATCTCGTCTTGCGGGTAGCAGATTGCGAGTGGCAGAGACCCAACTTTGCATTAAATTGCTGGACATGTGCTAAAATTACATATATATATATATATGTATATATCACAATATGCGTATTTCCAGATGTACATGTATGTATATCACGCTGATCATCCATCGCTGTGCTGAAAAACCATTCGCGCAGTATCCAACAACGGTATGGGGGTGGGGGTATTGCACCCGGCTGCAACCCAACAACCCGAGCGATGGCTTCCAAGGCCTCGAACCCTGCAACAAAGTGGCCTCCTTTGAGGGCCATCAAGAAACCAAGGAAGCAGGAGAAGCGAGCAGAGGTTCGGAGGGAAAGAAACGCGTCCCCGTGGCCCTGTCCCCTTTCGCCGCCCCAAAAACCAAAAACCAAAAACACAGTCCCCGACAGCCGCCCCAAAAGAAAAAGAAAGGAAAACCACCTGCGGCCCATTCTTTCCAATCGGCCGCACTTCTCGCAGGCGCTAATGGCTGCATTACAGGCCACCAGCCCCCGGCGCAGGCCTGTCTTCGGGGTCAAATCTGGGTGGGGGGGTCTTTTGGTTTCAATAACCAACCAATACCCTCCCTCCAACTGACATGGCACCTGCGGGAGGGTGCCTGGAAGATCAAACTCCTGGAGGGACCCCCTTTCAGGTGCCATGTTAGTGGGAGAGGTAAACAGTTGGTGTGACTAATCAACAAACAGGGAACCTTCAAAACAGTTGGTGTGACTTTGGGGCACTGGCAGATGTTCCAAGATCTCAAAGAAAATAATTACCAACAGGAAATGGTCTTCCCATCTACCGAATCAGCTCCCATGATTCTGAGAAATAGTAGCTATTCCAGCACGAAGCAAGATGCTCAAGAAACCAGCAAGACATGTCTTCACAACATGTATATGCATTTGTTCGTCTGTAGAGAGCAAATGAATTGTTGCGAGCATTCTCGGGATATAATATAATACCTATTGGCAGTCACAAACACGAAATATATGTTGCATACACTACCATTGAGCATATGTTGCAGCCATGTGTAAGAACATGCGACACCGGCGACACCATCCTGAACAAAGGTAGCCCCCTCCTCAAGCGTGTGTTGCTCAACAAAGCTGTAAATGCATACCCTGCACGGAAGAAAATGAAACAGGTATGCAGGTATGCCAAACATACCTGCTTGAACCTGAACCTTTTGTCAACCATATCAGACACAACGGCTGAATTCGAAAAAGCGAAATGAGACCGACAAACAGCCAAGGACTCAAGCCGAAGTCGGCCCGCGCCTCGCTGCCCCATCTGCTCCAGCAAGGTCAGGGCCCGCGTCCATTGACCCCCCTTCTCGCAGGCACTGATGGCAGCCTGCGCGGAAAGGAACATTGGATCGGCAAAGAAACCAAAAGCCACAGGGGTCCGGGGTCCGTCTTTTTAGGGGGCCCCGAAAAGACTGGTAGTCCTTTAAAAAGCCTGAGGGCAACCATCCAAAAAGCGGTCAGACACACTTCAAGTTTCAACATATATATATATATATACTGGAGAAGCCACCCATTGTCAATCTATGGTCCTAGTCGAGACTATGTGCATGAAAGACCACCTTGCACGTGGACAAACCTCTAATCAAGTGGGGTGCGCCCTTCAGCCTCCCGGTTTGTCAGAGCACGTCTTTGGGTGTGTCGGAGAGCAAATAAGAGCCGCCGAACTACATGCTGGATAATGTCAACTAGTCCAAGAAAGGATCAGCCAAGATGCGTTGTAGGTAATGTCTTGCGGAATGAGGGTTATTCTCCTTGCGAGGCTTCGCATGGCTTCGCATGGCTTCGGCAGTTGCGCTCCACCATCCCAGCCACACTTGCAGGATCACCCCCAACAAGCCTGCAACATCAACGAAAACCTCAAGGAGTGGCTCAGCTTGACATCTGCACCGCGTAGCAGCTTACAGCTGCAGAATATCGATCTTCACAACTGGCCAGTCTTTCATGCGAGAACCTGTCATTCATGGGAGAACCTGACTTTCATGGAGACTGAGACAACCCTTCGGCCCTTCAACGTTCAGAGCGACCTTTTCGCAATCAATAGCTTAAGACAACCTGAAGACATCAAGATCGATTGCGCAAGGTCACCGCAAGCAATGTGCCATCCACAGCTTCTTGAGATGCTGTCTCAGGCTACAAGAGGCTCCAATCCAAAACCCCATGTGCATCCCCCTACATATCTGAGGAGCATGAGCCCCTTTCACCAGACTGCCTTGTCTGGCCCAGGGCTTCAAAACACAAACTGCAACTGCAACCATCGTTGAGCTGAAGGCTCTCCACCAGCGCCAAAAGGTAAAGCGCTTGCTGCCATTGCTCCTGTTTCTCGCAGGCACTGATGACCTCACTCAAAGACATGCCAGCAGGTTTCAATGACATGTCTTTCAAATCACGACAAGCGTACAACCCCCCAGCTTGCAAGCTCCAGCAATTCGATCCCGCTGGTTTCCCTGAATGGAGCGCGTTTCGATCCAGCAGATTCTGATGGACTTTGAAAGCAGAGTACCTGGCATCTTCAATCAGGGCGCAAGGCCCCGATTGAGGAATAACATCGCCCGGCAGCTTCCCGGAAGCACCCTGCGTCTCAGGCTGGGCGGCTGCGTTGAAGGCAATGATGTTCGGGGTGACCGCGAAGACAGTCATGGCCAGGAGGAAGTTCTTGGCGGGTATAGCGTGGGTTGCAAAGGAAGGTGCACCTTTTAAGGGGAACTCCCGAAATCACCCTGGGACAGGTGCTGCTGTATTTGGAGGTCCCCCGAATGTCTCAGAGGTGTGGCTTTGGGTGTGCATGTCAACCCTTGATTGACCCGAGCAAAAAGGCAGGCAACTCAATTGCACAGCCATCTCCAAAGCAGTGCATCCTTGTGCTTTCTCCCTGTTCACCGAAAGGGACGTGACCTGGGATGCCTCCACCTGGGCCACTGTCCTTGTCAAGTCACCAGTGCCAGCAGCCACTGCCGACCCTTCTCAAGAGCGCTCAACAAGGCGCTGCAAGATACCACGTCGGGCCGCAAAAACGCGGTCAGCGCCTGGCAAGCAACTGGCGACTAGGATCCGGTTGGTTGTCAAGCGCTCACCACTGTGGGTTCCCCAAACCCCCGGGTTACATTAGGCTTGTTGAAGGAGTTTACGGAAGGGGTGCTAGAATTCGATATTGCCATATTTGCGGCTCCTTCCTTTCAGCCGAATCATCGAACCGGGTGCTTTGTTGACCAGCCGGTGAAAAATGTTCATGCAAAGACAACAACGTAAGGTGACATTCTTATTGCAAAGCATGAAGAAGTCGGCACGGGTCAATGACAGACTTGCCGTCCATCAAAATCTGCTCCGCTGAGCCGGGATGTTTAAGCGCTGGCCTGGTGACATGGCAGCTTCAAAGCTCGTCACTTCGCTAAGATCGGGCATCCTGACCATTTGCAACCACACTCCTTGAGACAAATGTTTGCGAATTCGCAGGTGAGCCACTGCGAAATCCCAGCCTCAAAAAGAGCCAGCGCTTCCACCCACCTCACAGTCACGCACAGGATGCTGCACCAAATGACTTGCCAAGTGAGTCACCTCGTTTGCTTTGGCCTCCCTTCTTGTCCAGCAATACATTTGAATCGTTTTCCATGTCTCGAACCACATATCTGGGGCGTTTGCGGTTGAAGATGTGTTGTGTCCCGTGCAACCGAGGTGTATGTTATTGCCTCCTTCTTCTTCGGGCATTGCACAATAACACCATAGGTAAACAAAGACACAGCCTGGCGGCAGGAAGCTGTTCTGCGAAGCGAATCATAGCCAATGGACTTTGTCCTAAGTGATGTTCTTGACAATTATCCTCATGCGGCATACAGACCCACGCCTGCCGCGCTTTTCACAAGCGCTGATGGCCGCATTGTACGACACCACGTCAGCTGGGACTCGCAGATCTGGCATAGCCAAAAGCAGCGCAATGCCTCCGTGCTTGCAGAGAGAGAGACGTTTGCAGCTGATGGATTGCTGGACTGGTGGCTTGGTGAGCTGAGCTAACTTGTAGCAACTGGTGACCATTGGAAAGCCTGTTGAACCCCTGAAGCCACAAAGGGCAACGCTTAAACAGCTCTCAACCAACGGCAATCACCAATTGAAGCCAAAGCGCCTGTGTTCGATCCGTCTCAAACATCATCCATATTGTGGGCAAGCTCATCGTGCTTGTCAGAAAGACTTTGCCTTCTCAAAGCTTGCTTTGCCAACGTCTTGCAATTGCACTACCATGCTGCCCAAAAGCCAATACACATAGACAAATGACGAAGATGCGGCTCAAGCATGACCTGAATAGAGCCCAGAAGCCATGAGCTAGCTATCTATTTGTGAGAATCCCGCGCCATGCGCGTGCGCTTTCTCACCGCCTCAATATGTTGTCTGCTTTTAACCAGAGGGAGCATCCAAGGAGCCAGCACAAAGAGTACGCATTGAAAGCTGCCGCTTTGGCACACGGCTCCGAGGTGTAAGACGCTGGCCTTCTTCCCAGCGCCCGCACTTCTCGCAGGCGCTGATCGCCGCGTTGCAGGACACCACGTCCGGCTCGCCTCCTTCCACGAGGTCCCACAGCAGAGCCAGGCCTCTACGGAAGATCTGCCGAGGGCGACAGATTGTTTCAAAAAAACTTGGTCGTAGACACTTCCTGATGTCATGGGCTTGACTTCTCGTTCAAGTCACAAAAGAAAACTGACCTAGATGACGAGGCAACATGCAAGAGCCACAAATTGATGCAGCTTTCTTCGGAGACGCTTCTTCCCGGAGACAATGGCATTGGTCGCAGCATGCCTGTTGCAAGATCCAGCCCGGAGTGGTCACTAAGGACTTCAGGCTCTAGTGCTCAACGAAAGGGGCATTGGCAAATGTGCAACTGTCCTTGGCAAGAAGGTTCACTTCTGGCGTTCAGTATGATTTTGACAAGCCATGCGAGTTGACTCTTTCGTCAGATTGCCAGTGAGTGGCAATAAGAAGACCACATGGTGGCAAAATCCACTTGCATCTCTCTCACTCTCTCGCTCTCTCGCTCTCTCGCTCTCTCTTGCCTTCTTCCCAGCATTGGCTCTTTTCGCAGGCGCTGATTGCAGAGTTGTAGGAGATCACGTCCCAGGGGGCTGTGGTGGAAAGCATTGTCTTCACCTTCACAGGCTTAGACCTGTTGCCACCACTGCATGCCTCCACTGTGCCACGTATGTCACTTGAGAGCAATGGACTAAACTGTATAGCCCGGTCGCTCCTTTTAAAGGTAAGGCTTGAATCATGACTCAATATGGAGCATCACACAAGCCACTGCACATCTCATCAGCCACATCAAATTTGTTCAAGTGGGCAAAACACCTGTTCGAATGCGCATGAGGCGACACACTCAATGGATCTCATCTGCTTAAAACTACGCACTTGGACAAATTGCACAGCCCTTGGCTTGTGAAGCATCTAAGTAGGAAAAAGTCTGACACTCAAATACGGCTGTGGGCAAAACTCCTTCCGCACTCCGCTTGCCACCTGATTCCCTTGCACGGAAAATGTTTGGTTGTGAATTAGAAAGGACGAGGGAAGCCATTGCCAGCTCCAACACTGAGTGCGGATCACGAACTGACCAGGTTCCGGAAGCGCGGCACATTGGGAGGCGCGCCCAACTGGAAGTATGGACTGGTGGAAGAAAAAAACAGTCACACAAGCGGAGACTCTGACAAATTACGAATCCGCTCAACTCGAAATTGATGGAATCAATGGTCCACTTGGGTTCACTGGATGTTTTATTCTTGAAGCTGCGCTGTGCCTCACCCAAGATCTTGCAGCAAGGTTGAACAAACGGATGGGATGAGACGGGATGGGATGGGATCGGATGGGATCAAATACCTGGGCTGGGGTTGGATGTTTGATTGGCCCTCAAAGTTTTGGAGTGGACACAAATGCAAAGTGCGCCTGCGCCAGTGCCTCTCTCCACTTCTCTGCTCTTTCGTATGCGCTGAGCCTTAGATGCGCAGAGCCGGACGCCAACCTCCAAAACACCAAACCACGCGCTTTTGGATAAGCCTTCAGGTGGCCTGCTAACACAACCCAAGGTATTGACTAGGACGACGTCCAACACCGTGAGGCTTTCTCCCTCCTTGCCTTTCCCACAAGGCACAACTTGCGGTTCCGTCCGACCCACCCAGCCCCGGCGTTTCCCAACCACAAGCCGCGGGGCGCGCAGTTGAAGGACGCGGCGCTGGGCTCCAAACTCTGCACCGCGATCGCGCGGAGCTGCGCGGCCGCCTGGCGCCAGCGCCGGCCTTGCGGCGAGTCAGTACTCTAACCACAGCTGTTTCAAGGTCAAGTCTCGTCACGGCCGACCGAATGTGGGTGTCTTTTCTTAGGCTTCCTGGTTTTGGTTGGTTTGGGACGGATTTAGATGTCAACACAACTAAACAAATCAAGGAATATATACATCCAGTTTATCCGGAAGGAAGCAAACCAACAAACTAGCCAGCGACAACAACCAATGTCAAAAGAATACGCTGCTTCCATCAAAACCATAACAGAGAAAGCCGCAAATGCATCAAACCCGGGGGACAGAAAACAAAGCGGGTCCCTGTGCAGGTAAGGTTGCCACACCCCCGATGAATCTTTGTGAAGGATTCGCGCCACGTACGTTGTCACGTTGTCGCCACAGCCACAAGATCGAGATGCTCCAGCTGATACGTTTGCCATGTTGTTGGCCCAAATTTTAAATTGCACCAAAAAAACAAAAACGAAGCAACTCAGAACACCTGCCACCCGAGTCGCATTCAGAAGTCTGTCTTATGCTTTTCCATGGCCGTACATGGCCGCGCACATCGCTGGCCTCGCTGGCTGGCGCGGATGCAGCAGTTGAAGAGCACCACATCCGGCCGGACCCATCGCCGCCTACGCGCGATGACCCGACAAGGAGGATGAATCCGTAGAGTCAAATCTTATCCAGCATGACAATGGACAAGGCTGCGCAACTGATGGAATCAAACACAAGAAAAATCAACATAAGGCTGTAGTTCTGTGGGGACCTATTTTGGCTTGCCCTCACCTCCAATATCAACCAGTCACGGAGAGCCTGCTCAAATGTGTGTGTGTGTGTGTCAAGCGTGACGGCGTGTCTTTGCGTTTAAAACAAGTCAGAATCGAAGCCGAGACGGGAAAGCAGCAATAAGGTTGCGAACCACTTGTCACAAACACCAAGGGCCTGGCCACATTGCCAAAAGAAGCAGGCTAGCATTGAAAAACAAAACACTGGCTGCCGGTCAGGCACATCTCCTGCAAGTAGGTCCAAGCTTCTTGCCATTGGCCTCAGCCGCTAAGATGTGACCAAATACAAAGCCACGTGAAAAAGTCCTCTCACTCTTCCCAAACACTAACTAGTTGTCGCTCGCAAATATGCATGTCCATTCCGACACCCTTTTGCTGCCCTCTTTTCACAGCCCTTGCTTGTCCTCAAATAATCTGGCAGGTGTCAAGATGGTTGCTGAACAACCTCCATCATTCATTCCATAGTTCCCGAAAGCATGGCGAAGGGTTCTTCCGCTGGGTTCACTTGAGTTGTTCTCATGAGAGTCATTACAAGGTGTCATTGCAAGGAATCATCATCATGAAAGTCATTGCAAGGAGTCATTGCAAGGAGTCATTGCAAGGAGTCATTGCAAGGAGTCATTGCAAGGAGTCATTGCAAGGAGTCATTGCAAGGAGTCATTGCAAGGAGTCATTGCAAGGAGTCATTGCAAGGAGTCATTGCAAGGAGTCATTGCAAGTCATTGCAAGGAGTCATTGCAAGGAGTCATTGCAAGGAGTCATTGCAAGGAGTCATTGCAAGGAGTCATTGCAAGGAGTCATTGCAAGGAGTCATTGCAAGGAGTCATTGCAGGAGTCATTGCAAGGAGTCATTGCAAGGAGTCATTGCAAGGAGTCATTGCAAGGAGTCATTGCAAGGAGTCATTGCAAGGAGTCATTGCAAGGAGTCATGAGAGTCATTGCGAGCTGCGCATGGAGTCAAGTGCAAGTTGCAAGTGCGAGGAGTCAAGTGCAAGTTGCAAGTGCAAGGAGTCAGGTGCAAGTTGCAAGTGCATGGAGTCAAGTCCAAGTTGCAAGTGCAAGGAGTCAAGTGCAATTGACTTGCGAGGAGTTAAAATCTCTTCTTAGGGCGGCGGGGTAGCGCCGACGACACTACACGAAAATCGACCCTCTGCGGGGATCGGCGTGGTCGAGGTGCAAAAACCCATGGTTTTTTGCGATTTCTAAAGTTCCCGCGCGACCCTCTGCGGGGATCGGCGTGGTCGAGGTGCAAAAACCCATGGTTTTTTGCGATTTCTGCCTGCTCGCGCGACCCTCTGCGGGGATCGGCGTGGTCGAGGTGCAAAAACCCATGGTTTTTTGCGATTTCTAACCTGCTCGCGCGACCCTCTGCGGGGATCGGCGTGGTCGAGGTGCAAAAACCCATGGTTTTTTGCGATTTCTAACCTGCTCGCGCGACCCTCTGCGGGGATCGGCGTGGTCGAGGTGCAAAAACCCATGGTTTTTTGCGATTTCTGCGGTGCTCGCGCGACCCTCTGCGGGGATCGGCGTGGTCGAGGTGCAAAAACCCATGGTTTTTTGCGATTTCTGCGGTGCCCGCGCAATCGCGCAACGGCGTGCGAGGCGGCGTGGTCGAGGTGCAAAAACTCGAGGTTTTTTGCGAACTTTTGTTGTTCGAACTGGTCCTCGGGAGTTGTCTCGTGGTTCGCGCGCCTGCTCCCGGAACCGGCGGGTCGCGGGTTCGATTCCTCCCTGGTCCGCGGGCGGGCGTCGCAAGATGCAACTTGCATTTTAAAGCAACTTGCGCAGAGCAACTTGCGCAGAGCAAGTTGCACAGAGCAACTTGCGCAGACCAACTTGCACCGACCAGTTTAGAGCGCCTTGCCTAGAGCAACTTGCGCAGAGCAACTTACGCAGAGCAACTTGCACAGAGCAACTTGCGCAGAGCAGGAGCAACTTGCAGGGAGCGCAATTTGCACAGAGCAACTTGCAGGGAGCCACTTGCAGGGACCAACTTGCCGGAGCAACTTGCGCGGAGCAACTTGCGCAGAGCAACTTGCACAGTGCAACTTGCGTAGAGCAACTTGCGCAGACCAACTTGCACCGACCAGAGCGCAGAGCACCTTGCCTGGTGCTGTCTCGCGCTTGCTTCACAAATGCTTCGTGGAGGGAAAAAGAACGCATTCTGCAGCGTTGGGCCGACCTCGCTTGCGATGTTATGCTTTCGGGCCAACCGTGGTCTAGTTTTCTTTCCCTGTGGGCTTTGCGGCCATGCAAAAGTTCCCGCCCCTCGTAACGCAACCTTTTCGGGGGCCCTCTGCATTGGCCGAGGTTGGCGCTCCGCTCGCCCAAGGCTTTCAGGGCTCTCGTCTGCTGCCGCAAGTCCACCTGACCGGCGCAACCTGCAACCTGGTCACTCGGTGCACCAAACCGCTGGGACCAAATCCACGTGTGACCCGGGGTCGCGACGGTTGTCAAGGAATCGGAGTGGGGATCTTTTGACAGAAAGCTATTGGACCAACATATGTTGTGCTAAGTTATTGGCAAGACCGGAAATCGAGGCTAGTGCCGCCAAGATAGAAAGGGTTCAACCAGGATCCACTTGCTCCATCAGAAGCAATCCTCAAAATGTATGCAAGCACATTGGTTGAATACGGATTTCATTAGCAAATGTATATCTATCACCAAGAATGTAAAACACGCTCTACTAGGGCACTTGGAAATGGAAATGCAGCTGCAGGAAAGCTAACAACATCAAACGGCGCGGCCACTGCCTCGGGGAGCATGAATTTTCGAGCCAGGAGCCATGGCCCGCGCGGCGTGACCCCCACTGGCAATGGAGAAAGGCAGAACGACCCCTGAGCCCACACCGAGCGAGCATGCATCCAGGCTCGTAGGAGTCAAGGAGCATCGGTCAAATAAATTTAAACGAAACAATGCTCCAAAAGCAGGTCAAGCAGCTTTCAAGAAGGCAGCACATGCCTTGGTGTTTCCTGCAAGTGACAGAACGTTTACCAATTAGGCGCACGAACGGCTATCTAAGGACTGTTTGCTGGATCGCGTTTCTGCTAGCGCTACTGCTCGTCTGGAGTTGAATTGAGTTAAGCTGAGTTGGGATGATGGGCTGAATTGAGTTGAGCCGGGCAAGGCTGAGTCGAGCTGAGTTGGGTTGCGTTGAATTAAGCTGAGTGGACTTTAACTGAGTGTAGTGATTCAGCGTGAAACGGCCCGAGCCCACAGCAACACCGCTCCGAAACATTGGGAGATCACACAATCTGTCCTGCAAAGTTTGCTGACTCGGACTGTTTGCCACCATTTGCTCCGCTGCGGCAACTGCAGAGTTCACAAAGATTGCGAACGCTATTGCGTGATCCCGCGCCCGTGATCTGCTGCACCCAAAGTTTCGGCAGCTCGCCGGGGCGCAGAAGAGGCTGATTCGAAATCGGACGGCGAGTGTGGGCCAAAGAGCTTCTTCCCGTCACCAGGGGGCAATGCCTAAACATGACAGAACTGCCGACAAGTAGGGAACTCCCGCCAAGCCATTTGCGCCAAAATAAACATTGGAGTTGGAGTTGTCAAACAAAAGAAGCCTGTGATGGGCAAACGCGCAGCTTCTTCCAATGCGTTGCTCAGAGGTGCGGGCTCTGGGAAGCAGGGTCAACATGCGATAGAATCCTGTCACTGCTTCAAGCCACACCGGAGTTCAGCAGAGCAAGTTCTACGCGCATAGGGAGGGCACCACTGAAGCAAACAAATCTCTATTCCCTGCTTTCAATCTGGTACAATTCCAGCATATCAAAGAAAAAGCCTGCAACTTACAAATGAGAGTAAAATGCAACCCCGAAATCTGAATCCATCGCCAGCTAGCAGCTCACCATCTACTTCGCAACCTAGAAACAAAGGCTCACCACCACAAGCCCTAGCATGTTCCTCTCGTGCCCAACTAAACCGAAATGACCGCCTCTCCTCTCTCTCTCTCTTTGCTTGACCTGAGTCTCTTCCAATTCCAAGCCAGAGACCAGAACTCTATTTTCTGCGTTGTCCATCCGGGGCCTTGCCACGAGTCGAGTGAGACAATAGAGTCTTGCGCACGTGTCGGAATGGACAGAGCATTGCCCATGGAGCCAGTGTGCGCTGAGGGTCAGAAACTAGACTTCAAAGCTGCGAACTCTCTTTGTGCCTATGAGACGGGAGGCTCAGCTCGACATTCTCCACAGGTGAATTCTGTGAGACTGCAAAGACGTATGGCAGCTAGATGCTAGAGCCCATCTGTGCTTGCCCCCCAGGTTTGGGAGACCAGACCCAACAGTGTGTCCTCTTAAAAGTGTCTCCGGAAATTGGGCTGCAAGGGTCCATGTGCCAGTTGTTTTTTCCCAGACCACTATCACATGCAATGCCATGTGATATACAAGCACACCAGTGGCGGTCAAGGCCAAAGCAGTGCGGGAAGCCCATCTTGCGCGGAACAGCTGTGCAGCTGCTCGGCTGCGGCCCATCCATGCTCTCTCTTCCGGCCGGAACAGACGGAGCGAATTCGCACGCACAGCGCTGTGGGCGAATCCGGCTGATTTGAGTATGGGAAGCAGCCTAGACTTCACAAGACAAGCAGGCAAAGTGGGATGTTATAGATTGTGCTACTGGCTGATGACACAATATGCAAGGATTGCAAGTAAACGCCAAGTCTTCACCTCCAACTTCTTGCAGATGTGTGTGTGTGTGTGTGCGTGTGCGTGTGCGTGTGCGTGGGTGTGCGTGTGCGCGTGCGCGTGCGCGCGCGTGCGCGTGCGCGTGCGTGAAGGCAAGCAGGAAGGCGTGCTATCAACTCCTTCAGCTTCAGAATGTTGGTTGGCTCTGCAAAAGTACCTAAAAGAAGGAACGCTTAGAGTGAATGATGATACGCTGAAACCGCGCAAACATGTTTCACCTGAGTATCAAGAGCGTACCCCTTCTCCAACACAGAAGAGTGACTCCGTGAAGCTAAGAGTTGTAAGTCCGGTCAGAGTGACTCGGCCGCGCCGTGCTTCAACTCCTTTGCGCGGAAGCCCAT